AACCGTCAGCCTACTCCATCTCCACCTCCGTCTCCATCCCCATCTCCCCCTCACCAGCAGGCTCCCAATCCAGCAGGGGCTCATCTCAAAATCGTGCTCCAATTCCGGAGTTTAACTCCGCCAGAATTTCATGGGACTGAAGGGCCCGAGGCTATGGCAGAGTGGATCCGTTAGTTAGAGCAGAACTTTGACCTCCTGCAGTGCTCTGACGAGCAGAAGGTTATTTGTGGCCGCTATATGCTTAAGGGAAGTGCCGCCTTGTGGTGGTCCGGCTATCGGAGGTTGAGGCAGGCGGAGTTTAATGCCTTGACTTGGGATCGTATGAAGGAAGTGATCATGGAGAAGTATTATCCTCAGGGTTATCGCATGAGGATGGAGCGCACTTTCTGGGATCTTACCCAGGGGACTGGTACCGTTGAGGAATACGAGCAGGAGTTCACCTGCATGAGCGCCTTTGCTCCACATATGGTGGACACTGACCTGAAGAAGGCTCACAAGTTCCGAGATGGGCTGAGTCAAACTCTTCGTATGCATGTTGCTAGCCAGGGAAATCTTTCCTTTGATGAGACTGTTATCCGAGCCACCCAGCTGGAGAGTTATCAGACTCTCGATACTTCTGTCCCTTCTGCTCAGCTAGTCCAGCCTATTGCTTCTGCACCGCCCGACTCTAGTTCGGGTAAGAGAAAGTTTGATTCCCGTTGTGATAACCGGAAGGGAAAGCGTGGCGGGAATGACCGTCGTGGCGGGCGACCTGCATCTTATGATCAGAATCCGAAGTGCCCTAAGTGTGGTCGATATCATCCGGGAGAATGCCGTTTCACTCAGCGAGTTTGCTTCAACTGCATGAAGCCCGGCCATTTCTTCAGTGCTTGCCCCGAACCCCCGAGACAGCATGCCCAGCAGCAGCAGCAGCTTCCTCCTCCACCTTACCAGCAGCAGCAACAACAGCACAGGCAGCCCCCCCACACCAGCAGCGTGCAGGAGGCCAGGCTCGAGTCTATACCATTGCTCATGACGAGGCAGCCAACAATGCAGGTACTATGTCCGACATGATTTTTTTATTCGATGTGCCTATCTTTGCATTATGCGACACTGAGGCTACTCATTCATTTATCTCGTCTTGATGCCTTGAGGCACTTTCTATTAGCAATGTGTGCAACTGTGATCCTCTCGAGGTTAGTCTAGCCTCGGGAAAGACTATTATCTCCAACTCTTTGATTCCCAGTCTTCTAGTCAGTATTGGTGGGCATATTTTAGAGGCCGAATGCTATATTATTGAAATGCGAGACTTCGATGTGATCTTGGGCATGGACTGGCTCACTCGTTATCGAGCCGACATCCGGTGCCAGGAGCGTGAAGTCACTCTATTCCCCGTTTACGATCAGCCTGTTATTTTCTATGGGGTGAAGTCGAGGACTGTGCCTCGAGTCATCTCTTCGATGCAAGCTAGAAAGAGCCTTTCTAAGGGTAGCTGTCAAGGCTATCTGGTTTCTATGATATCCGAGGACGACTCTGAGAGGTCCCCGGAGAGTGTCTCTATCGTCTGCGAGTATCTCGACGTCTTTCCTGATGAGTTGCCCGGAGGACCGCCCGACTGTCAAGTGGAGTTTACCATTGATCTAGTACCAGGAGCCGACCCTGTTTCTAAGGCCCCTTATCGTATGGCGCCGAAGGAGCTTCAAGAGCTCAAGGCCCATATCCAGGAGTTGCTCAATCTTGGTTTCATTCGTCCGAGTGTTTCGCCATGGGGAGCGCCTGTCCTATTCGTGAAGAAGAAAGACGGATCGATGCGCATGTGTATTGACTATCGGGAGTTGAATGCCCTTACAGTTAAGAACACGTACCCCCTTCCTCGCATTGAGGATCTCTTCGACCAGTTGAGGGGAGCCAGCGTCTTCTCGAAGATCGACTTGCGTTCTGGCTATCATCAGCTGAAGATCCGGGAGTCTGATATTTCTAAGACTGCCTTCCGTACCCGATATGGCCATTATGAGTTCGTGGTTATGCCATTTGGACTTAGCAATGTCCCGGCCGTGTTTATGGACCTTATGAATAGGGTCTTTCATCCTTTCTTAGACCAGTTTGTCATTGTGTTTACCGACGACATCCTGGTTTATTCCCGAGACATCGACCAGCACAAGGAGCATCTGAGGATTGTGCTGGAGACCCTTCGCCACGAGAAGCTGTATGTTAAGTTCTCGAAGTGCGAGTTTTGGCTGGATCGTGTGGCATTCCTTGGCCACATTGTGAAATCGAGAGGCATTGAGGTGGATCCCAGCAAGATCGAGGCCGTGAGCAAGTGGGATACGCCAAGGAGTGCAGCTGATTTTCGTAGTTTCCTGGGGTTAGCAGGATACTACCGGAGGTTTATCGAGGGCTTCTCGAAGATAGCCCAGCCACTAACCAACCTTACGAAGAAAGCCGTGAGGTCGAATGGAGTCCTAGGTGTGAGGAGTGTTTCTAGGAGTTGAAGAGGAGACTCACTACCGCGCCCGTTCTATCCATTCCCGACCCTACTTTGGAGTTCACCATCTATAGTGATGCTTCGAAGATGGGTTTGGGATGTGTTCTTATGCAGCAGGGAGAGTCGTAGCGTATGCTTCGAGGCAGCTGAAGCCTCACGAGCAGAACTACCCAACTCATGATCTAGAGTTAGCTGCAGTCGTTCACGCCTTGAAGATTTGGCGGCACTACCTCTATGGAGGCAAGTGTGAGATTTTCACCGACCACAAGAGCCTAAAGTACATCTTCACTCAGAAGGAGTTGAACATGCGACAGCGTAGGTGGTTGGAGCTGGTCAAGGACTATGACTGTACCATTAGCTACCATCCCGGGAAAGCTAATGTGGTAGCCGATGCCCTTAGTCGGAGGAGTTATGGCCAGTTGTCTTGTCTAGATGTTCTAATTCGGGAGTTCGAGCGACTACAACTAGAGGCGGTGAAGTCGACTTTGACAGCTAGTGGTGTGTTGACTAATTTGGTTGTAGGACCGACCCTTCGTGAGAGGATAGTCGCCCAGCAACCGAATGATCGCTTCCTTCGCCGGATGAAGGAGTTGTCGGAAGCCGGTAGAGTCGGAGGATTCGCAGTTGCATCTGATGGAGCATTAGTCTTCGAGGGTAGACTATGTGTTCCGAAGGTGTGGAAGCTGCGAAAGGAGATCTTGAGAGAGGCTCATAGTGCCCCGTACACCATCCATCCTGGTAGCGCGAAGATGTATCAGGACTTGAAGAAGTCGTTTTGGTGGCGAGGCATGAAGAATCAAGTGGCGAGGTTCGTAAATGGGTGCCTGGTGTGTCAGCGAGTGAAGGCTGAGCATCAGAAACCGAGAGGGAAGTTGCAGCCACTTGAGGTCCCCTTGTGGAAGTGGGAGTGCATCACCATGGATTTCTTGGTGGGATTGCCGAGGTCGAGGGCCGGGCATGATTCCATTTGGGTGATTGTGGATCGCCTTACCAAGTCTGCTCACTTTCTGCCAGTCCAGACGACTATGACGGCTAGTCAGTATGCCGAGTTGTTCGTGGACGATATTGTCAAACTTCATGGGGTCCCTGTTGAGATCGTGTCCGATCGAGACGCGAAGTTCACTAGTCAGTTCTGGAGAACTCTGCACCGGGCCATGGGGACGAGGCTGGAGTTCAGTACAACTTTTCATCCTCAGACGGATGGTCAGTCGGAGCGGACGATCCAGTACTTGGAGGATATATTGAGGGCTGTGGTCTTGGACCGTAGCCTGACTTGGGAGAGTGCCTTGCCTTTGGTCGAGTTGACTTACAACAATAGTTACCACTCCTCGATCAAGATGGCCCCATTCGAGGCTTTGTATGGACGTAAGGTCCGAACACCCTTGTACTGGGATGAGGTCGGGGAGAGGAAGATTATGGGCCCGGAGTTTATTCTTAGGGCCGCAGAGACATTTGAGGCTATCTGGAAGCATATCCGGTCAACCCAAGAGAGGCAGAAGGTCAATGCCGATCGGAAGAGAGGTGAGCACGAGTATGCCGTTGGCGATCATGTATTCCTGAAGGTTTCGCCTATGAAGGGCGTGATTCGCTTCGGGAAGAAGGGGAAGCTCAAACCGCGTTATATTGGGCCATTCGAGATCCTTGCCCGAGTCGGGAACTTGGCTTACCGGCTGGCTTTACCACCTAGCTTGTCGGGAGTGCACGGCGTGTTTCACGTCTCCATGTTGCGGAGATACGTGCATGATCCCACTCACATGGTGGACTTCGGCGAACTGCAGGTTGAGCGAGACCTTACCTACGAGGAGGTACCGGTAGCTATTTTGGACCAGAAGGTCCATCAGTTGAGGAACCGGGCAGTGAGCTTGGTGAAGGTGCTGTGGAGCCGACATGTCGAGTCGGAGGCGACTTGGGAAAGGGAGGCCGAGCTTCGGAGGCGGTACCCGAACTTTGAGTTTTGAGTTCCCTTGTATTTTATTTCGCTTTCTAGATTTTCATTTTCGAATTCTGAGGACAGAATTCTTTGTAAGGTGGATAGACTGTAATACCCCGTTTTATCGTGGATTAATTGTGATTAAATATTGATTATTGTTATTATTAATTTTCTTATTTATTATTATTATTATTATTATTATTATTATTATTATTATTATTATTATTATTATTATTATCATTATTATTAAATGCCAAATTGGTATTATTTGTTGTTATTAGTAATATTACTATTTCTAATATTAATTGTCTATATTATATTTAAATAAATAATATTTTTAATTGTGTATTATTAATAAAATAATAAAATGTGATATATATATATATATATATATTTTGGTCTGATTTTATTTTATTTTATTAATCGTGCGATTTTAACCGAGCCCGAGAACCGATCCAATTTCTTGAAGCCGCGTTAGAACCGAGCTTTCGACCCAATGAACCGAATTTTTGACCCGGTCTGGTTTTCCTCTCTCACGTGCATGTGTGTGCGTGTGGAATTTTCTTGCAAAACAAGAAAATAAAACCTAATTATCTAAGGTATATATATATATATATGTATATATATATATTTACGCACCCTCAGCAAAAAAAGAAGCTCTCCCGCAGCCTTTGATCGCCCTCAATATCTGCTCTCTTTCTCTCGTTGAAACCTATCTCTGCTCTCTTCCTCGCCCGCCATCATCATCACCAAACTGATCATCCCATCTCAGCGCACTGTAACTCGCAGCCCCACCTTCATCTTGTTAACATCATCATCCGTCATCGCCATCATCGTTCACTTGCAGCAGACCATCGCCACCTCTGTCAGCCATCATCGCCGCCGTGCTCCTCCGCGAACCGCCACCATCACGCCCTGCTGTTCGTCGAGCACCACTGCAGGTCTTCATCGAACAGGTTCAGTCCATTCCGGCAGGTCCTCCTCTGCCGTGAACAAACGCCCCAGGCCGCCGTCGTCCCCGATTTTTCCGTTCGTGAAGTGCAGCCCCAGTCCCGTCAACGTTCAATCTCAGCTTGCGGGACCCGTCGAGTTCCGTCGAAGAGCCTATCGTGATCGTCGAGTTCCGTCGGGTTCCGTCGGAGCATTAAACGAAGCCGACGAGTTCCGGACGCCGAGCCGCCATTGTCACCACCTTCACCCGCGTTCTTTCCAAAACGCAGCAACCGTGCGCCGCCGTACATCCCGTCGACCCACTCCGGCGACCAGCAGCCTTCCATCGAGCCCTTCGGTCGCTGCCCTCTTGTCCCGGCGAGACACGTTGAGGCGTCGAGTTCGTTTGTTATTCCGTTGTTCGTTCTTCGTAGCCCCGTCCCGAGAACGGTACCCGAGTTAACCCCTCGACTTAATTATTTAGTTTGTGTTCATGTGTTAGTACTCGTATGTGTGTTACGTTGCTGATCGTATGATATTC